GTAGATAGTGAGGTCAGTGTAAAGGTGCTTCTGGATGGGTGATTCTGTCCCTTCATGGAGAACGTTCTTCCGTAGAGGAGGTTGTCACTCTTTTTATACAGGGCAAGGTTACTTCATATTTGTGCAATCTTGATTTGTACGAGTGACATTTGCAAGGGAGGTTTAATATTAATGGTGCTGGGTAGAGGCATCATGTTTTTTGAACAGTATTTTTTGTAACAGCATCATTGAGATATAATTCACATACTATACAGCGCACCAGTTTAATGTGTACAATTCAGTGGTTTTTAGTATGTTCACAGAGTTGTGTAACCATCACCACAGTCAATTTCAGAATAATTTTATCACTTCAGAAAGAAACCCTGTACCCTGTAGCCATCACCTCCACGCCCCCCTCCCCCCAAATCTTTTCAGCCCTGGGCAACTACTAATGCATTTTTTTTGTCTCTATAGATTTGCCAATTCTGGATATTTCATTTAAGTGGAATTGTATAATGTGTGGTCTGTAGTGACTGGCTTCTTGCACTTAGCATGATGTATTCAAGGTTCATCCATGTTGTAGCATGTGTCAGTGCTCCATTGTTTTTATGGCTGAAGGACGTGCCATCGTGTGGATGGACCACATGTTACATATCTCCTCATCAGTTGACAGACGTTTGGGTTGTTTCTGCTTTTTGGCTATTATGAACAATGCTGTGGTGAACATTCACGTGCAAGCTTTTATGTGGCTTACGTTTGCATGCTCTGGGGCGTGTGCCTGGGAGTGGGGTTGCAGAGTCATATAGTGCTCCCTTTGAGGAGCTGCCAGACGTTTTCTGTTTTCCATTCCCGCCAGCAATGTGTGTAGGTTCCAGTTTCTCGCACCCTCACCAACACTCGTTACCGTCTTTTTGATTTTAGCCATCCCGATGGGTGTGAAGTAGTTTCTTGTGGTTTAGATTTGCATTTCCCTGATGGTTAATGACATGGAGCATCTTTTCATGAGCTTATTAGCCATTTTTATATCTTCTTTGGAGAAAGATATCTTCTGTTCAGATCCTGCACCCATTTTTAAATGGGATTATTTGTCCTTTTTATTGAGTTGTAAGAATTCTTTCTATATTCTCGATATATGGTTAGAAAATAGTTTTCACTTATTCAGTGGATAGTCTTTTCACCTTCTTGATGTTCTTTGAAGCTCACAGTTTTACGTTTTGTCGAGTTTATCTGTTTTTTCTCTTCTTGTTTTTGGTATCATACCTAAGAAACTATTGCCAAATTCAAAATCAAGATTACACGTAGTTAGGATTTTAATTCACTTTTGAGTTACTTTTTGCGTATGGTGTTGAGCTAGGGGTTTAGAGGTATTATCTTTGGAGCCACAAGATATTTAAGCTTATTTTTCAATTAGGTTATTTTTATAATTTTTAAAAATTTTAAATATCGAGGGGATGATAAATTATTGTGGATTAGAGGCCGTCACTAGCTGCCCTCAGGTAGATCTTTATAGATGCTTGCTGATGACACCAGTAACTGCAGTATCCACAATGTACTGAGGAATCCACAGGAGTTAGGCTTTCCAGAGGGGACTGGGGAGACGGAAGGAGCAAGTAGTTGGGTCGGTAACTAAAGAGGGCCGGGTGTGGCGGCACACACCTGTTGCCCCAGCACTTCGGGAGGCTGAGACAGGAGGATCAATTGAGCCCAGAAGTTCGAGGCTGCATCAAGTTATGATCAGGCCATTGTACTCCAGCTTGGGCAACAGAGCGGGACCCCATCTCTTAATAATAATAAAAAAAAAGGGACTAAGGAAATTAATTAAATATGGAGAGGGCCAGCCAGCCACCATCCCTGTAGTTCCTAATGCATGAAAAGCTGCATCCTGATGCATGTGGCTCTGCCTGGGACTGGCTTGTTGCTAGGGGACAAGGGGATTTTATTCATCTGATATGTGATGTCTAGCAGCGTGGTGTCCGGTTGAGGCAGATGTAGGGTCTTGGGGAAGAGGTTGTGTGTTTGGCCACCGTCTGGTGAATTGGAGTGTTTTTCTCTGCCCAGTAACCCTATACGTTCATTAGGAATGCAGCCCACTCTGCGCAGCTCTCTGGCTGTGGAGCTCACGTCCTGATAGCCAGTCAGTGCACTGTTTTTTCCTCCCAGCACATCATGGAGTGTTTTTCTTTTATATATATATATATGCATATATATATTTTTTTCTATTCTGCTGTTGTGAGATATGTGTATATATATGTGTGTATATATATCTCACAACACTAGAATGGTACTGTTTTTTGTAATGTCATAAATTATTAATAGAATAAAGGAAACATGAAGACCTGTAAGAAGTGAAGCAGGCAGGAAACCTGTGCTAGCAGCTGAGCCAGTCATTTCTGCTTGCACCAAGAAGAAACATCATGTAGTTCCAAATCTTTTAAAACTTGCTGCTTTAGTTTCTTTATGCTGGCCTTTTTGATTAGTAAGATGTAAATCTTTCCATCCTCCTTTCACATTTCTTTACAAAATCTTGTTACGTTTGGGAGGATTTCCGAGGTATTCTAAAAAGATCTCCACACATAAGGATTTTCCCAGAGAGCCTGTCAACAGACGTCCGTCTGAGCTTTTTACCCTTAATCTTTTTACAGACGGAATCGTTCCCAGATGCCTGGAAATTCCTCGTTGGATAACTGTGTTTTAGACGGAGTTTTGTGAACAGCCTTTTATCTTCGACTGGAAAGGGAGGTTCGTGTGTTGTGAACATTCTAATATTCTTTTCCCGTGGATGGTGAGGGTAACATCCCTTTACCAAAGAAAGGAGGGGGTTTTTCTCACTGTGGGTTTGCAGGGGAGAGAGAATTTTCTGGAAGGAAATCTCATTGTTTAAAAAGTCAAGTTTCTGGTGTTGCTGATGACTTAGAAAGAGGAGGGAATTGCAGAAAACTCTGGGATGGAGGAACGGGAAGTGTTTTCCTTTCAGAAGGGGCAATCTGGCCTCTTCCGGCGTGTTCCATTGAAAGTGGGCAGGCCCACCAGGCATGTTATGAAGTGTGCAGAAATGCCCACCTTTCCTGCAGGTGAATGAATTCCAGAAAGATCAGTGAAGACTGCTTTGCTGATCTTTCCTTGATGAGTGTGAAAAAGTAACAGGCAAACACACATGCTTTCACCTTTGGCATGGGGTAATAATTGGCCTCATTGGTCCCCTGCAAAGACCCCTCCCACCCCTGTCCCCATCCTTGCCTATGACCATTTCCTCAGTGGTTGAAACTATAGGCAGCTGAAGTCCCACACATGGGCAGGCCCATCTCCAGGACAGGTGCCATGGGGCAGACTTGAGACTGGGCAGACCATTTAACTTTCCTGTAGCCATTTTTTTTCATCTGTTAAATGGGCACATTGGAACTAGACTGTCTGGTTTTGTCTTTCAGTGCTGAGACTGTAGTTCATCTGCTCTCTAAAATCCTGTCAAAGGCAGATCAAGTCTGGGAAATTCTTGCTGTGCTTTGGGGCATTTAGATGAGGTTCAGGGCGGCCCTAGTTTGAGGGGTATTGTTGGTTCTGCCCCACCCAGTGGCAGGAGTTGCACTAGAAGTTTGAGAGCTTCACTCTATCACCTTGGACTTGGGCTTGAGACTCAGCTGGGCTGGAGGGGGCAGAGTTTTTTTAAACCTTTAAAGGTTAGATTTTACCTTTGCAGTTACAAAAATAATCGTCTTGTTAGTATCTACAGATGTGCCATTGTTCTCTGTAACAGATAAAACCTTATAGGCTTAAAGTGCTGAGGAGGAAAGATGACCATCCACTTTCAGAGCTGCCCACTAGAGGAAAAGTTGGCATCTTATGTACCCTGTTTATTTTGAAATAGATGGTAAAGCAATCAGCTAATAAATTACTTGAAACATTTATTAAACTGTCAGTATGAATTAAGAAAAGCATTGTTATATTTCCAGTAAGCACTTGAAATCAAAGTGGATGTTCTTTCTTAAATACATGGTATCACGAAATTTACCATTAGAGATGTTTAGTATATTTATAATGTGCAACCCAAAACGGTATGTGTTTTTTCTCTTCTTAATTTTTTTTACAGAAGGAGTCTCTGTTGCCCAGTCTGGAGTGCAGTGGCACAATCATAGCTCACTGCAGCCTCGAACTCCTGAGCTTGAAAGATCCTTCTGCCTCAGCCTCCTGAGTAGCTGGGACTACAGGCATGTGCCATTGTGCCTGGCTAATTTCTAATTTTTTTTTGAGATACAGGGTCTTGCTATGTTGCCCAGGCTGGATTCTAACTCATGGCCTCAAGCCGGTCCTTGGCCTCCCAAAGTGCTGGGATTATAGGCATGAGCCAACACGCCTGGCTTGCTGCTTTTTTTTTTTTTTCGCTTGGAAAACAGTGTTGTCGTAAGATTTAGCAGAACAGGGATGTGTTCTTAGTGAATAAAGTATATGCACACCCAACTTTTTGTTTTCCAGAAAATTTTCTCACTTGAGTCGAAGCCACAGAGTGTTTCCAATGTCTTTCTGATGTCGGTTGACAACAGTGTTAGAATCCTCAATGCTAAGTGCTTTAATGCCTGCAGTGGTCATTGCAGGGATCATGAAAGATCACCTGGTCACGCAGCCCCCACCCTTTCTGTGTTGTCTTTGACTCTGTCAAAAACTGTAGGTGGGTTGGACGCAGTGGCTCACGCCTGTAATCCGAGCACTCTGGAGGCCAAGGCAGGAGGATTGCTTGAGTCCAGGAGTTTGGGACCAGCCTGAGCAAGAGCGAGACCCTGTCTCTACTAAAAATAGAAAAAACAAGCCGGGTGTGGTGGACGTGCACCTGTAGTCTCAGCTACTCGGGAGGCTGAGGCAGGAGGATCACTCGAGCCCAGGAGTTTGAAGTTGCTGTGAGCTGTGATGACACCATTGCACTCTAGCTGGGGAGACAGAGCAGACTTTGTCTCAAAAATAAAAAAAAAAAAATAAACCTACGGATGGCTCCTCCAAGGTCTCCATAACCCTCTTCGGGGCTACTTTTTCAGATGTGGAAAGCATCGGCAGGCCACGCGGTGTCCATCACCCAGGATGACGGGGGAGCTGACGACTGGGAGACCGACCCCGATTTTGTGGTAGGAGCCACCAGCCTTTTGCTTCTTGTTTTTCTAGGAGTGTCTTTCCTAGGTTTTTGTTTGATCAGGCAGTTATTTGTTTGTCTGTGTTACAATCCATGGTATGGAGCTAATTAGTTCTTTTTCTTTGCAGAACGATGTGAGTGAGAAAGAACAAAGATGGGGCGCCAAAACCGTGCAAGGCTCCGGGCACCAGGAGCACATCGAGTAAGAGGCCTCGTCTACACCCTTGTAAACGGGATGCGATTCGTGAAGACGCGGTGGAGCGGGGCATGCACCTCTGATCCGTCTGTGTGGGGACGCCATGTGCGGGGCTGCTTTTGTTTGTCTTCTTGACCTCATGTTCATGCAGTAGATGAATATGAGATCTGATACGTTAACGTATGCATTTATGTGTGTATTTACATGCATATGTGCTCAGTAATTTTAAAATTCCCATTGCAAACAATTTTCACATCTATAATTCTAGAGTCTACTTTTCATCAGGCAATATAGTTATTTAAGCTCTTCCTACAAGTGGGAAATTTCTTTTTCTTTCTTTTTTGAGACAGAGTCTTGCTCTCTTGCCCTGGGTAGAGTGCAGTGGTGTGATCATAGCTCACTGCAACCTCCAACTCCTGGGCTCAAGCGATCCTCCTGCCTCAGCCTCCCAAGTAGCTGGGGCTACAGGCATGCACCACCACGCCAGGCTAATTTTTCTGTTTTCAGTAGAGACGGATCTCGCTCTTGCTCAGGCTGGCAAGTGGGAGGTTTCTAAAGTGTGAGATGTCTTTGAATAACTTAGACATTAAATGCCTCCCTTCCTTTATTTTCATTATTGTTTGAAAGTATTGTGTATTGCAGAATTTAACAGGTACTGTGAACTGAATTGTAAGCTTTGTGTTCTTATGAAAAGCCCAGAATAGGAGAACTTAGTGAACCATGTCATTGTTTCTGACTTGGCACCATCTAAAATGCTAGCTCTCAGGGTAGTTTGTTTTCTTGTCAGGAAGTGTAGATAAAAGGAACTTTTAAAATGTGTTCAGACTTTTATTTTGGGTGGTGCTGGGCTCAGAGTTTATCCTCCGTTCCCTGCCGTGAAGGCAGCACCACTGGCCCGGTGACCTGCTCTGTTACTTTGGGAAGACTCTGCCTTGCTTGGCTGCAGTGTCTTTGGCTGAGAAAGATTCAGTAAATCATCTAGAAAAGAAGGCAAAGTCTGCACAGTGGCTTTTTATTTTTATTTCTTTAAAGAAATAAAAGAAACAGGGTCTTGCTCTGTCACCCAGGCTGGAGTGCAGTGGTGCTGTCATAGCTCACTGTAACCTCGAATTCCTGAGCTGAAGCAGTCCTCCCTTGTCAGCCTCCTAAGTAGCCAAGACTATAGGAATGAGCCACCGCACCTGGGCAGCAGTGGCATTTTAGACATAGGTGTTAGTCCCTGCATGACTCGCTCAGTCCACTCCCTTCTAGAGAAGCAGCTTGAGAATGCGGGAGGGTCCTGGGGCCAGCTGGGGCAGGAGTTTGAAATGGGAGCTGACCCAGGAGGCTGGTGCAGCCTTGGCTTATTTGCTGTGGGGTTAGGCAGACGAGGTAGACTCTCACATTGGTGACGTCATCACATGTCTTCCCATTTCTTCTATTCCCCGTGACTTCAGAACAGTTGGGGAGGGCAGATTGGAGTACAGAAGGAACTCTGGTATAAACAGCCTGTGGATTGATTAGGATTCAGAAAGGGAACACGTGGGGACAGGACCATACTTGGTGCCCTGTGGTCCTTCCCACGTTTTAGGAGCCGTGTGTTTCCTTTCCCTGCTCCTAAGGGGATTCGGTGATTTCCAAGCCTGGTTTACATTTCATCTACACTTCTGGGATTGTTGTCCACATGTTGAAGGTGTGGGCCTGGTGTCTCCTGGGCAGAAAGGCCACATGCTTAGGTGGCCTTCATAGCACTTTGGGATCTCTTGGGCACAGCTGCTTCCTGGCCTGCCAGGTTTTGGCCACATCTTGTGATCTGTTTCATTATTCCCTGTATTTAAAAAAATTTTTTTTTTTTTTGAGACAGAGTCTCACTCTGTTGCCCGGGCTAGAGTGCTGTGGCGTCAGCCTAGCTCACAGCAATCTCAAACTCCTGGGCTCAAGCGATCCTCCTGCCTCAGCCTCCTGAGTAGCTGGGACTGCAGGCATGCGCCACCATGCCCGGCTAATTTTTTCTATATATTTGCAGTTGTCCAGCTAATTTCTTTCTATTTTTAGTAGAGACAGGGTCTCGCTCTTGCTCAGGCTGGTCTCAAACTCCTGAGCTTAAACCGTCTGCCCACCTCGGCCTCCCAGAGTGCTAGGATTACAGGCGTGAGCCACCATGCCCATCCTCCCTGTATCTAAAATTAAAAAATGGCTTTTAGGTGGTAAATTCTGAAAGACTTTCATCTCATCTTCAAACGTATAAATAGCTGGAGTACTTTAACTAAAGACAAACTGACTAGATGTTTGGCATCACTGGACTCCTGCTGGTATCCTTGGGACATCTGGAGTAAGGGACCTTTGACTCGCGACTGCTCCCCCTGGACAGAGCTAGTTTTTCTAACTCATCCATCTAGTAAAACAAGAATCTTTTCTCCATATGAAATTAAGTTGAAGTTTCAGTAGAGCTCCTTTTGGGGGTGGTTGGGATGATCCTATTGCACGTGTTGAGATTAGCGTTCCTTTTTCCATGAAACTTCTGTCTGACTCTGAGAATGACTGAAGCGGATGTACCAGCTGCAGAATAGTCGGGAAAGCACAGTGAAGGCAGGGAACTAGGTGAGCATCAAATGACCAAACTCACAGATTTGAGAAGATGATGTCACCTCTCCTTATTCCACTGGAAGGCAGGGATGCTCATTTATTACATTTTATTGACTTGTTCCTATTTTCATCTCTCCCCTTCAAGCATACACAAGCTGAGAGAGAATGTTTTCCAAGAACATCAGACCCTTAAGGAGAAGGAACTCGAAACAGGACCAAAAGCCTCCCGTGGCTACGGAGGGAAGTTCGGTGTGGAACAAGACAGGATGGATAAGGTGAGTGGACGATGGCTGCCTGCGCCAGGCTCCTGGTGAGCTTGGGTCCCCTGCCAGGTTGGCAGAGCCATCCCTTAGACTTTGCTTAGAGTAGCAGTTACATTTGTGTAGGATGAGACTTGCCCAAAGTAGTCCTCTGTTGGTTGGATTTAGTCATAAAGTGCTCCATCTTTTCTAGAAGCTCTTTAAAAATTTTTAGAGGTGCTGGAGTCTGGGTGTTGTGTGGAGGCCCAGAGGGGGAGATTGTCCCCCAGAGGCCAGCTATGTGATCAGGACAGCAGTCCAGAGGCATCTGACTGCGGATGTTGTCATCACTGCCTACAGTTCCAGCTTGCAGCCTGAGTTGTGCCAACCCGCAGACCCAGACCAAATGTGTGGGCCCTTGGTTCCCAACGCACGTGGAAATTCAGCCAGCAGTATAGCCGATCTCCTTCCTGCATTTGGTGACCTTCAGAGAGGGGTCTGGCCTTCAGTGTACAATCTGTGCCCATGAGCCTGGGAGAGAACACTTACTCTATTTAAAAGTGATGGCCGAGGCCCAGCACGGTGGCTCACACCTGTAATCCTAGCACCCTAGGAAGCCAAGGCGGGAGGATCCCTTGAGGCCAGGAGTTTGAGAGCAGCCAGGGCAACATAGCGAGACCTGTATCTGCAAAAAATAAAAAACTGTCTGGGCATGGTGGTGTGGGCCTGTAATCCCAGCTACTTGGGAGGCTGATGCAGGAGGACCCTTGAGCCCAGGACTTTGAGGTTGCTGTGAGCTATGATGATGCCACTGCACTCAAGCCTGGGCGACAGAGTGAGACCCTGTCTCAAAAAAAGAAAAGCGAAGAAAGCGACGGGCAAGCCTCTCGTGAGTAGTCCTTGCTGGAGTTCAGACTGCCAAGCAGATGTTGATTGAAGTTGCTGACTTTGCTGGTACCTTAGGTCTTCCCTACCCTAGGAGAAAGGAGGGCTTATTTGCTCCCTCTGCAGAGAAGACAGTGTGGACTGCAGTGTGTTTGCATGTTCTTCAGTAGAGCAGGTCTTTACATTTTGCAAACATCCTCGTAGAGATGAGTTTCCGAGTCTGAGCAACATGAGATTGTTCTGACCTGACAGATGTCTGCCTTTCTCTGTGGATGGAAGTGAAAGTATCGGCTGGTGTTGGATTTCAGTCAGTAATTTCATACTTCTCCCTCACCCATGGGTTGTGTTAACATCTGACCTGGGCACAGGACAGCGTAGCTGTGCCACAGTGAGCTGCATGTCCCTCTGTCCCTCAGCAAAGTAGACGATGTGGCCAGCCTGGGAGCACCCCAAACCACATCCCCAAGTAAGCTGGAGCTGGAGTGGGGTGCGGGGCCGTCTGCAGGAAAGAGATGGGTGTTGCTGTGTCACTGTGTCAAAGCCACAGAGACGTCCTGACACTGAGACAGTGTGCAGAGAGGAATCATCTTTGGATTCTAAAAAATGTCTGGTAGCTTTCGGGAATGCAAATGAGCAGACAAAACTCCGTGCGTTCAGGGCGGTGAAAGAATCCAGTAGGTAGAAGCCTTTTCCATCGCAAACTGAGATGGGCCCTGTGCTCGCCAGGCTTGTGGGGAGTGAGAGCAAAGAGAAAAGAGAAATGTATTCTAAAAATCGGACCCCCCGCTCTGGGTTGGGAAAATTACACGTTGGGGAAAAGAATAAAAATGTATCAGAGAAGAGCCTGGTAATGAACCTATAGGGATCTGGCTTCTCTGCTGCTGCTCAGACGGTGCCCTTGGCTGGCCTGCCTCTCTCACCCTCGAACCTACAGCTCAAGCCTTGTCTAGTCCAGGAAGCGTCCCTGAAGAGCCCTGCCCTTCCCTGTGCGCCAAGAGGCCGCCTGTCCCCTGTGCTTTCTCTACCTTAGCTTCTGCTCCAACACCGTTCGTTGTCACTGGCGTGTTGTGCTGTCCTTTCTACCGAGACACTCCCTTCTGGGCCGGGCTTTCTGAGGGAGGGGGCCGTGATCCACGCTGCTTCTCCTGGGAGGATGAACCCAGCAAGGGGCGTCGGCGCCGTCCCTGCCATCCCACTAGGCATTTAGGAAAGGTTAGCGCTCAGCTCAGGTGAGCACCTCAAGGCAAATCTGTTGTCAAAAATAACTCAGATTCTAAACGCAAGGAGAAACGGCTTAAGGTATTTGTAACTTGCTCTCTCCAGAAATTGAAAAAAAATCCTGAGATCCCTGTGTTAGAAATTCAGGAATATGCCATAGAGACTTCCGGAATAAAACACTTTTGAGGCACACGTTTGCAAGAGGAGCCTGGCCAGGAGCGGTGGGGTTCCGTTTCCGCTGTTGTCTAAGCACACTGCACCCTCCTTCTGGGAACTTGCGGCTGGAGTCCAGCAGGCCGGCTTCCTCTTCCTCCCTCATCTCTGTGTCCTAGAACCCCGAGTCTACACGCTCACTGACTATCCAGTAACAAGTGTGATTTTGTCAATATAAGATCAAAGACAATTTTGGGGATAAATCTGTTTGAATCAGAAAGCTGGAAATGTTACCGGGCTGTCACTGCCATATTTTTAGAACGGTTTCCTTATAACTTCTCTCCGGTGGAAACTCACGCCGGGGAAGCCTCTGGCACAGCTGTCTCTTGCCACGTCTTTTCATGTTCTGGGGGAGACCCTGGAGGCCGCGGTGGGTGGTCTCTGCCACAGAAGGTTTCGGAGGCAGTGGCTCGTGTGGACGGTCGGGCAGCTGCTGACCTCAGAACAAACGTGGGACGAAGAGAAAGTAACACAGCTCTGGAGTTTAGAGCAAACCGCCTTATTCATTAGGAGAGAGTGGGCACTCTGAGTGCCCTGCGGAGCATCAGGGTGGGGCTGAACGCTGCTCATCGTGGGGTGGCTGCGGTGAGGACACACAGGAGATGGAGCAAGAAGAAAGCTCTGTACGTGCCGTGGGCTTTCTCCATGCCCTGCGCTGGAGCACATGATCTCATCGTCTGTGAAGGAGCCACTTGACCTCCTGGCCACTATGCGGAGGGAGCCTCGAAGCCTGGGGCCTCGCTGAGCCCCAAGGGTGGGTCCGATGGGGCCAGAGCAGGACCAGGGGCTTTGTGGACCACAGGGTTGGTCAAAATTGCTGAACTGGGTGGTTGAGTCGGAAAAGCAGCCGTAGCCACTATGTCAGTGAATGGATGTGGCTCTGTGTTCCAGAAAACTTTCTTAACAGAAAGAGCTGGGTACTGGGTCTGGCCCAAGGCTATGGTGGCTGAGCCCACGTGGAAAGCTTCACCTCCTGGTTTTGCTGCTTGGTAGATGTGTGACCTTGAACAGAATGTCCCCGAACCTGTGCCCTTTTCTGATGGGGGCTGACGGTGCTGTTGGTGATGCTGGAATGAGCTGGTGCAGCAGCTGGCTCCCTGCCTGAATGGGGTGCGTGCTCAGCAGAGAGCAAATCTGAATCTACCTTGTAACTACAACGTACGTGTGTGTTCCAGTTTGTTAGCAAAATAAGTATTTTTTGTCCTGATTCTTGGGTCATGTGGTATGCGAATGTCTCACTTTAGTAAGGCAACTGTTGCCAACAGTCTCCACATAAGCAGGTCTCATGAACTGTGTCACAGGCTGCTGGCCCTGTGTCCTTTCTTCACAGCCATCTCGTTTCCAAAGCCTCCATCTGTGGCTGGGGTTGTGGATGGCTTCCCGGGAGCCCCACGCCTGGGACGGGCAGTGAACCCGCAGGGGCTTGGACAGCCCAAGGCCGCGGTTCCCTCCAGGAGCTAAGTGCCCCTTTGTCGGCTCTCTGGCCGGGCGGGTGGCTTTCCCCTTAGTGCCTGTACTGGGAGGAGGTCAAGAGCCATGCTGTCGTTTGGTGTATAATACTTTGTTTTTGGACCCTGTTCCAGTCAGCTGTCGGCCATGAATATCAGTCGAAACTTTCCAAGCACTGCTCGCAAGTTGACTCTGTCCGGGGCTTCGGAGGCAAGTTCGGTGTCCAGATGGACAGAGTCGATCAGGTGAGAGATGCGCGGGGAGGGGCAGTTGGGAAAGGCGGTATCTCCGGAGAGCAGAGCTGCCTTCTGCATGACATGGCGCTGCCGTGCATGTCCTTTGGGCCACATGCAGTAGCACATAGGTGCACTCCGACTCCCTTGGACTACACGGGGGGGCCGCCGGACCCAGGGACTCCAGGGCCCTTCCCCTCCCGGGATGCTCAGGGAGCCGAGGCCACCAGGTGAGGAAGCAGAACAGTAACGTGTTTGCTGTGGCAGTCCCTGTGGTCACTCTTCTCTGAGTGCTGGACAGCCTTAGATTTGTCCAGGGATGTGCCAGTGGGGACCAGCTCCGTCCTCCTTTCCCACGTGTGTCACTGTGACAAGGTGACGGTCAGAGCCTGTGCTGTGGAGCGTGATGCACACTAGGCGTCCCGGGCTTAGCATCCAGATGTCGTGGCTGTTCCAGGCCTGAGCCTGTTCTCGGATTCTCTCTGGCCCAGGGCTGTCAGCCCCTTTGTTTGCTAATGAATTAGGATCCTGCAATGAGCCACTGCAAGTGGCAACCTGGACAGACCTCAGTCTGCGTTCTGGCCTTGTGACATACGAGCTGTGTTCTGAATTAACGTGTGTATGATGTGGCGGTGATGATACCTACTGCACGGGGCCGTGTGCAAAGCGGGTGTGACGGCGTGTGCTCGCCCGTGTCTGTGCCTGGCCTGCGGCGGTGTACACGGTAGCTGCTGCCGTTCTGCTTGCTAAATTAACGTTGTTCTTAGCATGGCTTATGGAAAAGCGAGTTTGTGTGTGGCATGTGGAATTGTTCCAGATTGTCGTTGCGTGGCTGAAATGAATCAGCTGAGCACGCTCTGCAGCAGTGTGCTGGGGAGGGCAGGTCACCATGGGTACAGCGTGGCCTGTGTAGCTCACTGGGCTTTCTGGAACATTTTGGGGCACGTAAACTCAAAGCACCAGAGCTTTTGCGTTAATTTCACTTACACTTGGCTCAGGAAACCACAGGCCAAAAATAACATTGTGTTTTTAAAAGTTTCATGTGTGTTGTGAACTCAGAGGGATTGTTTTGGAGACATTTAAAAATGCATTGTCCTGTCCTTCTTTGTGTTCTGGTGACCACAGTCTGCCGTGGGCTTCGAATACCAGGGGAAGACCGAGAAGCACGCGTCCCAGAAAGGTGAGGCGTGGAAGGTGCAGAAAGCACCCTGTGGTCGGCCGGGCCTCAGAGTCACGGTCACCTGGAGCCCGTTTCTCGGGTGGGTGGGCCGTGGCCACAGCGAGGACGCTCTCTCCTTCAAGTTTCTGGGTCACCTGGAAACCATACGATGGGTATGTTCCCATAGCGCAGTACCCGCGAAGCCCTGGCATCCGGCATCATGGCACGCCTCCCACCTGCAGCGGAAGCCACCCTCCCTTCATCTGGGCGGCACTGCTCCTGGAAAAGTTAGCTCTCTGGCTTGCTTGGCAAAAAACTGTCTTCTCTCCCAAGGATAGAAACCAGAGTTGTTAAATTCTCGTTTTTGCTATAGACGTACGATCTTACCATGGTGGTGATTAATCTTTATTACATCATACTAGTCTCTAAAGCCATTTTTAAAAGATGAAAGCATATCAGTTTCTGAAAGTCCTCAGTGTGTTTTTTGTGAGCTTGATTAATTCTGCCTCTTGTGCGTCATCACGTAATGCGGGACACAAGCTCTCAGTGCTCGCAGAGTCCAGGTGCAGTCTCGGTGTTGGTAGCCGCCACTGGGCGAGGGGAAGAGTTGGGGCTTTTCTGTAATGTGTCAGCTGCGGAGCTTTCTTCATGCTCTAACCTGTACTCGAACAGGTAGCTTTTCAAGTGGGCCCGCGGCTTCATTGCTGCCAATGCAAAGGGCCTGCCCTGTACCAGTGGAAAGGGACCAGCCTCCTTCGTGCACATTGTCACCCGTGTGGAACCGTGGGTGGCCTGTCGTGCGTTTTAAAATGTATGCTTGATGTCTCTGGGAGTCGTAATCCCCAGACACTTCTGTTTTGCTCAGTTTAACAGCAAGGGGTGATCGAATTGGTCCTCAGCCTCATATGCTGACTGCTGCCCTGTCTCCTCAGACTACTCGAGTGGCTTTGGTGGCAAATACGGCGTGCAGGCTGACCGTGTGGACAAGAGTGCCGTGGGCTTCGACTACCAGGGCAAGACGGAGAAGCACGAGTCTCAGAGAGGTACGGGGGCACTCCCCGGTCTTCGCTCACGTGTTTGCGAATACGAGGGGGTTTTCTCCTCTGCACACACTGGGCTATGTTCGTTGTATAAGTGCTTTTTTTTAACTTAAACTGATTTGGTGTTCTCTTCATGTCAGAATATACGGACTTTTCCTATTTTTAGTGGCTGCTCAGTCCCCCTGCTGTATGGAGATTCCGTAGTCTATTTAAGCATTCCTCTTTTGAATGTGCAGTTTAGGTTACTTCCAGTTTTTTGATGTTAAAAGTTGAATGTAGTGAATTATTCTCATACCTGTGCCTTACACATGAATGATTATTTGGAAGAATCAATTCCTAGTAATGGAATTGCTGGGTCAAAGCATAGTGAATTTACAGTTTTGAGAGATACTGCCAAGTTGTCCTCAGAGGCTGTGCTGCTCTGTCCCTTTGCCACGACATAGCCTGTGAGGGGATGGTCACTCGAAGAGCCTTTCCTGGAGCTACAGCGGTCGTGACCTGTTGGTTCCCCTGCACCGTTTGTTTTCGTTGGCCTACACCTTTAAGTTTTTGAAAATAACAGCCCACATTTGAAAATGGAGAGCTTTAATCTTTAAAAAGTCCAGGTTTCTTTTTGAAAAACACCACTGAAAGTTCTGGCCGTGCGGGCTTGACATTTCCCTGAGGAAAGTGCCAGCGGCCTGAGGGCAGCGATCCTGGAGTTTGCTGTGAGGCTCCCCTGGTGCCTGCTGCGGCGGCTGGTTTACTCTGCCTTCGCTTCTCCCCTCCTGGGAGTAAGCCGTCCTCCTCTGCCAGTCTGCACAGGGCACGGCAGGACCTCGGTGGCTGGTGTGCAGGGAAGCTGTGCAAACGCGCCTCCTGGGAGTCTGGGGCGCAGGCCCAGATGCCGTGGCAGGTTAAGGCTCTTCTGATGCCTCAGGGTCTTCCCTCCCAGGACTTGATCTCTGTGTTATGCGCCATTAAAGGTCCAGGAGAGAGTCATGCTTTACTGTCAAAATAACATGCTAAATGACTTCATTCTGCATAGAACTGATGTTTCTGGAAGTCGTACTGTACGCATCCTACTTCCTGGGGGCTCCTTCCTGGCACCCTGCTGCTCTGGGTCATCCTCCGAATCCCTGTTACAGTGATGGACGCCTGCCGTCTCTCGGGATGAAGGACGGTGCTGCAGTTATTAATCTGCTGTATTTGCCACTCTGTATTATTACACATAAGTAGTACCTTTAATACTGCCCAGGTTGCTCAGTGATCTTATAGCGAGCCTGACTTTTATTTTTTAAATTAGCGATAAAAGTAGTTTCTTAAAGACTTCTGAGACCCTAGCACGTTTACTGATTTTGTTGCTTGTTTTTAAATGGTACTTTTTTTTTGTTTTTAGATTACTCCAAAGGTTTTGGTGGCAAGTACGGTATCGACAAGGACAAAGTGGACAAGAGTGCCGTCGGCTTTGAGTATCAGGGGAAGACGGAGAAGCACGAGTCCCAGAAAGGTGTCTTCAGTTTTATCTCATTCTCCAGCCAGCAGCCGTTAATGTGACAGGTGTTAGCCAAAATAGAAAAGGAAAACAACCCTTAAAGTAGATATCTCTTTTTAATTAAATATTCAAGTTTAACACAGCAAATCCAGAAACGTAGCTGTGCAATAAGAAGTCAAATGTTTACACTTCTGTTGGCTGGCAGACCCCAGCAGAGTTGCTTATGACAGTGGCCATGCACCGCACGTCTGTGTTGTCAGTGTGGAGACGGTGCCGCCTCCCAGTGCTGGCAGAAGCTGCATGCATCGGGGCTGCTTCTGGGGGGTCCCATCTGTCTCCAGTCACAATCCTGAGATTCTAGGCCCTCTTACTGGATATTACCTAAAGTTTTACCGAAGATCCAGGAGGGAAAGGATGGATTTAGTGAGTTGTGTGTATTTAACTGCATTGAAACATACTTTCTACCTGTGACCCAGGCTTCCAGTTACTGATAGATTATGGCCTTTTATGTGCATGTAGACTATGTGAAAGGGTTTGGAGGAAAATTTGGTGTGCAGACAGACAGACAAGACAAATGTGCCCTTGGCTGGGATCACCAGGAGAAATTGCAGCTGCATGAATCCCAAAAAGGTACATTCACTTTGACTACTCGTACCCAAGATCATTCTGGAAGTTTGTTTTCATTCATTCCTAGGTCCATTGATGTGTTTTGTGTTTGCTTTGTTGGTGTCACAGTGTTGTGCCTCACTGTTTGAAGTTGTCCTGTGCCTTCCACGGTTTCAGAAACCCTTCAGCTAGCGTAGGGATGACCCCTGCCCTCTCACAGGGGAGGCCTGCAGGGCTGCGCCACAGGGGATGCGGTTTACCTGGGGTCAGGAAACTCAGGTCAGCGCCTGCAGCACCCTCTGCGATGCTGTTTGTTTCCTGCCCTCAGGGTGTGGCACAAAAGCAGCAGTGTTCCTAGTCCGTGGTTTCTTGTTTATAAAGTGGCAGGAGACTCTTCCTTTCTAACCGGAAGTGTTTTCTCGTCAGAGTGGGAACCCTGTCCTGGGAAAAGGAGTCCGAGGGACTGAAAACCTTTCGGTGTAACCCGGACCTAAGCCAGGGGTCAGGCATGCCCGCTCTTGAAGCCAGCACAGCAGGGGGTGGGCTCACCTGTGTGGCTGTGTCTGACGCGTGTGTCTCTATACAGACGTGGAGGTGCATTCTCTTTCTGCAGCGTGGGTAGGACCCTAGAAATGAACCTCAAAGCATGGAGTGGCTTTACCGAATTACTTAAAATACAGTGCTTAGCCTGTTTCCAGATCCTGGCTGGCGTGTTCAAATTTTAAGTTTGTTCTTTAACCTTAACCTTCAGAGCCAACTTCTGACTGTGAGGCTGGGAGCCGGGTCTTTAAGACCCTAAACTCGGCAGAGCTCTTGCTTTCTGGAAACGATGTATTTGATCATTGCCATGCTCAGACAGTTCTAACCCAGCTTGTGTTTCCTCTCTTGGTTGTTTTCCCCACTGTCGCTTGTGGACTTTCAGATTATAAGACTGGTTTCGGAGGCAAATTTGGTGTTCAGTCCGAGAGGCAGGACTCTTCTGCTGTGGGGTTTGATTACAAGGAGAAGCTGGCCAAGCACGAGTCCCAGCAAGGCACAGTCGCCCCCCAGCCTCCTCCCTCCCCTCTTTGAGTGCAGCCACTTCTAGCACAGACTTCAGGGTCACCATCAGAGCCTGCAACACAGTCTTCCTGAGTCACCAACTGTCAGCTGCCAGGGCTGCCAGGTGTAGTAAACCCACTTTTGTGTTAGGTGTGAACTTGGGATTTTCTCCCTCCCTTTCCCATTCACTTTTTTCCCTATGACCTTTATGGTCTGTGTTTGGTGAAATGTGGCATTTAGTTTGCAAGTTTTTATCATTTTAACCCCATGACCTGTCTAGTTTCTGGAATGGGGCATCTCTGGTCTGCTCTTGACTGTGGCTGCTGTGAGTCACTGAGTCACTGAGATGAGGAGAGACCTGTTTGGTTCAACCAAACCCCTGACCTTCAGACCCGAGGCTGGCGTCAGTGAGGGCCAGGAGACAGGCACGTTCTGTGTGGTTTCTGTGTTGCATTTGTGGTGGTGTTTTTGGCCAGGGGCGGGTTTTTTTTTTGTTTGTTTGGACGTGTTTGGTGACATTGTCTACGTGTAATACCCCCACACGGAGCCACACAGTACGGGCGCAAAGCCGGCCAGCGCAGTTTTCCTGAGAGCAGTTGGTCATTACCTTCAAGATTCGGAGGTGGTTATTAGAGCCTGGACACATAATTGGAGAAGTGGCCCTAACCTTACAGGGCAGGCTTTAGGCTTTGAGCCCGCAGTGTTAGAAGCACATGGCAGCTCTCAGGCCTGGGAAGGTAAACATGCCTGGGAGGGTCCCTCGAGCTGCATGGAGGAGGCCATTGGGTCTCTGTGGCATTACTGCTGCATGACAGTGTGACTTTCATGTGGATCTGTGTTGCTGCAACAGAAGTATTTGGCTGGCAGAATTTCCACATGGATTTTTTTTTTCTTTTAAAAAGCAAGAGAACAAACTGCGACTGAGCCTCTTTTTAGCGCTCAGTCGCGCAGGAGCACAGGAATCATGAGAATAAGCCCGTGCTGGTGCGGAAGACTGTGCTATTGAAGTGGCGCGTTGCAAAGGCCTGTCTCGTGCCCCTTCCTCGGCTTAGTCCCCCTGCCTGCTGCCCGCCACCCCTGTGCCCCTCAGGAGAATGCCCAAGCATGCCCCAGACCTGTGCCCTGCCTCTCGCCCGCCTGCGTGCCCAGGGCCGGTGTCACGTGCAAAACTTGCCTTGCCAGTAAAGACAGCACTGGTGGTCCTCGTTTCTTTCCGCGCCGGGTGCACTCTCTCGGGCTGTTCTGGTCTGTCTGCATGCTTCTGCCGTCAGCCCCGTGCCTGCCCTTGACCTCAGAGTAAAGGTTGTGTTTTGCCGCATTTCAGACTACTCCAAAGGATTCGGGGGAAAATACGGGGTGCAGAAGGATCGGATGGACAAGGTAAATATTTCAGACCCGGGGCTGGTATTTTCTGCCAACAAGTTCAGGCATTTATGGAGCTCTTGGTGTGTCAGCCTGTGGTCTCGTGGATATTGTGTGGCTCACGGTTCTGGAAGTATACCCAGTGGCCAGGCGCACACCATTCCTATCACAGATGGTCCTGTGCTCCCTGGGGCAGTGCTGTGGGGTAAGTGCTGTCACTGTCCCTCTTCCGCAGCCACAGCACGGTGATGAGTGGCTGGGCCGCCATTGGAACCCAGGAGTGCCTCGGGCATGTGGTCAGTTGAACATTAAATCAAATTGGAAACTGTGTTCTCTGGTCACATCAGGCACGTAGTAAGAACTCAGCAGTCTCGTGTGATTGGTGGCTGCCCTCTGTGGACAGCACAGATCTCAGCCGTTAGCATCCGTATGGCAGGTCTGAGCGACACCGCCAGCTTGGGGGCTGTGTAGTCTTAACCACCAAAAGACGTTCCTGTGGAAACACGTTTTGCTCTCCCATTGCGGATTCCTTCATTTATCTTTTCACTTTTGACTGGTTCCACAGCCTTGGTGAGTCAGTGTGAAGCATATGAAATGATTGTTTTTCTCATCCATAATCCAATGCTTTAAAAAATATTAGAGTTATCATTAGACTGTGCGTGGGGTTATCCAGACCGGCCGGCTGGGCACTGCTGCCGTCTGCCTGTGTGATGAGCCGTGCCTCCTGTCTGTCTTGTATTGCGTCTAGCTGCACGGACCGAGCCCCACTGTGCCCACTCCTGTGCGTGGCCTGGGGTCTCGGGCGGCAGGGCTGTCCTCACGGAGCTCTGTTTCCACTGGGCTCACTGCTGACCTCGCAGACAGTGTTCCCAGTGGACTCGCCCCGTGGCCAGTCTCCCAACGTGGGCCTTGAGGGCACAGGGGAGGGCAGGAGGCTGGGCTGAGGAGTGAGGGGAGTGATAGCCTGACTCAGTCCTGAGGGGTGGGCGGGGACCCGAGTTAGGGCAGATTCTGAAGAAGGGCCGAACGCGGAGTTTGGAGAGGGGTGAGGGGCTCACTGGTCCCCCGGAGAGCCCCACAGAGCACGGAAGGCTTTGCGCTGCATGAGGGGATGTGAGCGGCTCTGGAAGGGGTCAGCAGGCAGGGGACACTAGTAGGAGCCCCCGGACAGTGTGCAAACTGGATCGTGGGGCGTGGTCTGGGCCGGGGTGTGGTCATGAGGAGAGAAGCGTGAGATGCCAGAGGTGCTCAGGTGGCAGAGCCGCAGGGCTTGGTGTTAGGCTTCAAGGGCCGCAGGGGAGGGAGGAGTCAGGGTCACCCCAAGGTGGATGTGGGTCACCCCAAGGTGGATGTGGGGCAGCTGCCGAGGTGGGAACTTGGGAGGAGGGACTTGGGTGAGTCTGCGTACGGCCAGCGCGTAGACGGAGCTGGGACGGCCTGGAGAGCGTGCAGAGTGGAGGCTCCCAGGGCTGCACCGTCATGATGGTGGTGGTCAGGCGGTCAGAGGAGACTGGGCAAAGGGACCCGGCGAGGGGGAAAGGGCTCGGGGAGGTGGCCTGGAACGGGTGGAGGGAAGGAGCGAACCGGTGTGGGTGAGTCAGAGTTTGTGGCTTTGCTGCCGGAAGTTGAGGAAGTGTCTACATCGCGGGTGTCTGTGGTCAGAGTTGATGGTAGTGACAGTGACCGCTGACCTCAGAAAGACAGGGAAGGAAGTGTGCGAGGGGCCACCTTCAGTGTTGGGAGGAGGTTTGGTATTCTTTGTTGTGGTCTGCTGCCATCCCTGCTGTGCGGCCAAGCCCCTGCAGCAGTCCCTGCGGGTGGTGCTGGCAGGTCCAGGATCGGTGAGGCCGGTGGCCTCGCCTTTGAACGGGTGTGAGCAACTCAAGGGCCTGGGAGTGGCCTTCAGGGACCCAGGCGCTAGCTGCGCAGAGGGCTGGTGTAGGGAGAGGGAAGGCAGCAGGGTCGGAGCAGAGGAGGCCCAGGAGGCGCTGGGCAGACCGTCCTGGTCAGGAGCGGCCTGGGTGATCGGGCTGCTGCGGTTTCTGAGCCCCAAATGTTGCGGTCAGAGGTGACGAAATGTAGGATGCAACTGAGGATGGCTGTCGGTTTCTAAGAGCCCTGCCGGTCTGTGCCTGCATTGGCCGTTAAGTGGCGGGCCACGTCCCCGCACAGCAAGCAGGTATGACCGTGCTCGCTGGGAAGTGGAGGATCAGGCCAGCAGAGGCCCATGTGTGTCCCGAGTGTCCTTCCAGGCTCTAAGTGTTGAGGCCTCTCTCGGTGGTGAGGGAGGGGAAGGCTTGAGGAAGTACCCGGGACAGATCTGTGACGGAGCAGATGGAGAGAGGTGGTTTTTATTCTCGCGCTGACTCATGGTCACCAGCAGGTGTGCGCCGTAATGTTTGTCGTGCCTCAGTTACTCTGCAGAATGGAGAGGTGGAGATGGAGTGCTGGACTGTCTGGTTGGGTCTTGTGGAAGATCCGGGAGGCTCTAAGCATTTGCGTCAGGTAGGAGCCACTGGCGGGCATGACGGAAAGAGAAAAGTGCCTTCCTGATTCCTTCTCCTGTCTCCATAGAACGCATCCACCTTTGAAGATGTCGCCAAGGTGTCCCCTGCTTACCAGAAGACGGTGCCTGTTGAAGCTGGTGAGTCTTAGCAGACCCCCAAAAGCACTGTGTGGTTTTCCCAGGAAGAAAGTCCATGCTGTGTGGTTTTCCCACATGGGAAAATGCCGAGGGGAGAAGGATAGTTCGTGAAACGGCGCCAGGAGTAGACGGGGCATTCCTGGAGAGCGCGGTTGTTGCTGCACATTTTGGGGAAGGAAATTGGCGATGCTTTTGATGAAGATGCTCTGTGCTCCTGGAGAGGTGCAGAGGCGTCTTGCAGGCGCAGCACCGTGGGGCTCTCTCAGTGGGGTCTGTTGGTAGGGGCGCTTCCCAAATCAGAGAGGCGTTAAGTGCACGTCTACACTGCCGATGACAGGGTTCTGGGAGCAGCCCGGGCACACCCACTGCTCTCTGAGCCAATCAGCCACGGCCACGACCGGAGGAAGGTGTCAAAATATCTGCGTGCAGACAACAGGAGACGTCTTCTCCGCTTCACACTCATGAGCCCTCGACCAGGCAGCTCGAAATCCGTCCTTTCAGGTGTCTGCTGGGCACGCGGTGGAATCAGACGTGGGCCGTGCCCTGAAGAGAGAAGTTGGGGAAAACATTAAACATGATAGCAAATGCTAAATTCAGAATAGGAAGCTGAGAGCCACTGTGCTGGGGGTGCCCTGATCTGAGAGTCTCCGGGCTTACGGGTCCGGGACACTTTGACTCACATGAAAATTAGTGAGGGCCCCGGAGAGCTTTTGTTGATGTCGATTATATTTGTTGATATCTACTGTACTAGACATTAGAGGAAACTTTTAAATTAATTCATTTAAAAATAAAACCATTACATGTGTATACATGACACTTTTAATGAAAAATGACTACATTTTTCAAAATAAAAGTTAGAAGAGTGGCATTGTTTTACCTTTTTATAAATCTCTTGAATAGACGGCTGAGTTCTCGTATCTGAGAATCTCCTGCCTGTAGTCCCATCTCCTTGGGAGGCTGAGGCAGGAGGATTGCTTGAGTCCAGGAGTTTGAGGTTGCAGTGAGCTGTGATGGTACTGCTGTACTCCTGGGCAACAGAGCGAGACCCTGTCTCTGAATGAAAGAAAGAATGAATGTTTTCCAGATCCAAGGCTTATAATAATACTCCGTCCTACCGAGCATGTAGCACGCTGCGATGGGCACCCAGGGCTGGCTCTGGTGGGTGGGCTCAGCAGTAGCTTGGGGAACTTTTTCCTTCTCAGTGGGGGCGACTGAGCAGGGTTCTAGGTGTTCTGAGGCCAGGTGTCCTGTCTCCTCCCTCTGTAGTGACCAGCAAAACCAGTAACATCAGAGCTAACTTTGAAAACCTCGCTAAGGAGAAGGAACAGGAGGACAGACGGAAGGCAGAAGCGGAGCGAGCCCAGCGGATGGCGAAGGAGAGGCAGGAGCAGGAAGAGGCCCGGAGGAAGCTAGAGGTGAGTGAGGAGGGTCCCCAGACCTGCGCCGAGGGGGTGGGGGCTCTGGGGCTGCGCCTACTGTTTCCTGGGCAGGCCAGAAGGTTTTCACTGGAGAGAGTGTTTGGCTCACATTTGGGGCTCTCCTGCAAGTTAGGAGCCACGCATATGGTCTCTGGCCTTGCCCAGCCTGCCCCTGGTGACCCGCCAGCTGCACTGCCCCGTCCACGAGCCGTTAGTGGATGTGTTCAAGTTCTGTGCGCTTCCTCCTCTGTGGAGTTCCTGCCGGAAGTTTGCCTGAGCCTCTCTTCTCACCCCTCACCTTCCAGAACCCGCTCCTTTCTTGGGTGGAAGGTTAAGAAGGGGCCCGGCGTGAGGAAGCAGCTCTGCCCTCCCCAGCCCTGCTGCTGGAGCCTGGCCTGCTGCGGGACCGTGCCTCTCCGAGCTGTTCGCTCCCACGGGAGGGAGCGTGGGGCTGTGGGGAGTGGGCGAGAGCCAAGGACTTCTTCTCTCCTGAAGCTTCTCTAGACGGGCCCGGTGTCCAGGCGCTCCAGTCCCCGCTTGCCACTGGGCACCTGCGGCATGTCGTCAGCCCACCTTTCCGTGGCGTCGTGTTCTCATCTGTGAAACAGATGACGGTACTTGGCTCTGTGGGGTAGCTGGGAGTAGAATCCGAAAGGATGCGCGTGAAGCTGTTCTGTAAACCGCGGAGCTTCGTGTGAGCCCACGGACATTTCCTCCCAAAGCCCGCATTTAGGGCTCTGGAAACCCCCACTGATGGAGAGCGTCTGGTTGAGAGAATTAGCGCGCAGCACGCGGACGATGCTGGGGCCAGAGACGTGGATGAACAGGCCCTGGCATGCGTGTCACACGCAGTGGAGTAGGCATGACGGCCAATTCATGGAGCTACTATTTGCCGCTCCTTTATCGCTAGACACCAAGGATTTCTCTCCTTCGCCATGTTTAGCGAGATGCTGGTGTTAGTTTTCTTTGTTGCGGGACTAACAGATACCTGCACGGGCCTCCCCTACGGGTATCTTGTCTCTCCTGATAATTCATGCTTTCCTCGTTTTATGACTCGGAATTTGACCGCTGCCATCCGAGTGCCTTCACATCCACAAGGCGCAGGGTGATTTGGTTGCTTGGCAAAACAAAGGCTGTAGGTGGCTGTTGAGTGGCTTTCAGGGTTCCCTGCGGCCCCTTCGCGGCCGTCCTTCTCCACTGCAGCCCTCCCCGCCCTGTGCTGCCAGCTTCTCCCCGGACAGTGGTCTCGGCCCGCATGGCACGGCTTGCACCCAGGCCCCTTGCTCTAGTGGAGAAGTGCTCCAGAAGGTCACCAAAGTGCCCCGGCAGGTGGGGGACACCGGCATGTGTCCATGTGTGCTTGTCCCCAGCCTGGGTGGCTGGCCGTTGGGAAGGCATTTCCTTGTGCCCCGCTGGGTGTGGGAGGGGCTGTGAATCGAGCCCAAGGCCTGCAGCTGTGTTGGTGAAGCCACCACGTGTAATCCAGCAGCCAGGGGCCTCTGCATTATGGCTGGCAGGCCCGGGTGTCTGGACGCCCGTGCTTCGCCTGCCCAGCCCGGGCCCTGCCTCTCCGGGGGTATACACGGGATATGCTGACACCGTGGCTGTTCCTGGTGAGTGGGGATTTACAGCCGTTCCAGTGTGCAGGTCAGGGATGGGCACCAGATGCCAAGAACCGTGCCAGGGTCTCCAGCCCTTGGACAGTGTTCTTTTCAACAAGACTGATGCCACTCCGGCCGTCCCCGTCAGGGCCCGCTGCGGAGGGAGGAGCGGGAAAGTCTGCAGTGGACGGACGGGGTTCAGACCCTGCTTCTGCCGGCCCCTGGCGCGTGGCGCTGGGCATGCCACCTCACCTCTCGTGGGCCTCTGCTTCCTCTGTGGTGACAGGCAGGCCTTCGGTGTTTGTTTCCTGTTGTTGCTCTATTAAATCACAGACCTGGTGGCTTGAAACCACACCCGTTACCTCATAGTCGCAGGGCTGTGTTCGTTCTGGGGGCTCTTGGGCCCCTCCCCGCATCGCCCCAGCCTCTGCTCTCCTCAGCACGTCTGCCCTGCCTCTCTCACTCCTCCCCCTCACAGGACCTAGAGATTGTGGCAGGTCCACCCCGGCAGTTCAGAAATCTCCCCATCTCCGAATCCTTAACTTTATCACGTCTGCGGTCCCTTTGGCCCTGGAAGGTCACGTGTTCACAGGATCAGCAGCTTTGGAGGGCCACCATTCTGCCTACCACAGTCCACCCTATGGTGGCCTCCAAAATTCATGTTCATCGCACACACAAAACATACTCACCCTGTTTGAAGGTTCTAAATGCCTCAGCCCGTGACAGCATCAGCTCAGAGGCCCAGAGTCGTCGTCTCCGTCTCGCAGATCGGGTGCTGCTGGGGCTCAGTGTCGCACTCAGTGACACTGCCGGTGCAGTCCCGACTGCACTCTGCCACCTGTCCCGCGGGCCCTGTGGTGGCAGCAGGAACACTGTGCGTCCCCACGGTCCTCTTCCTTGAGGCTGTCGACTGACTGCATGACCTCCCCTTCACAGTGCACCTGCCCTTCAGGTCCCCTGGGTGCTCAGCCTCGGTGCCGGTGTCTCTGCTCCTTCACCCTGGACGGTGCCCAGAGCTGGGGCACGAGCCTCCCCAGCACGCAGCGGGACTCTTGCTGCGGAGCCAGACGTGGTGATGTGGGGCAGTGTGGTGACGTCATGATGGCTGTTTGTTTTTCAATGCCAGGAGCAAGCCCGCGCCAAAGCGCACACCCCGCCTGTGTCCCCCGCTCCCCAGCCGGCCGAGGAGAGGCAGCCGCCGAGCCCCGTCTATGAGGTGGGTGTCTCCCTTTGGTCTTCCGTGAGTCTCCGACTTGCCTGAGACAGGTTTCCTACATGTAGCAGGAGAAACACCCTTCCTGGGCCATGCAGAGGGGCAGGGGATGGCCTCGCCACTCTGTTCTGTGCCCGGGAGAGGGGCGGCCGCCAGTGTCTCCAGGGCCGGGGGCTCTCCTCAGTGCTGTCCGAGGGATAGTCTTTCATGCCACGTGCCACCCTTTCCCCTCTGTGGCCCTGGAGCAAGCCCCCCCCACTGTCCTTCGTCATCCGTTGCAGTCTGGCCACCTCTCACATGGTCCCCATGAGGCCACCTGCTGTCACCTCATGAGACGGGTTGGTCTTCCTCTCACTTGCTTTCCGCCTTGTTGGATGCTGGCCATGTTCCCTTCTGGAAATCCCATCCTGTCTTGGCACCAAGGTGCTGCTCCCCACGTGGTCCCGCTCCCACGGCTGCTCCTCTTCAGCCTCTGCCCCTCCCCCGGCACCTCCTGGACGAGTGTCCTGCAGACACTGCCTGGCCCTTCTCCTCGGTGTGGTCTTTGGTGTGCAGTGACTCCCTCACGCATGTCTCTAGCATTCTCTCTTTATCCCTGAGTTACTGAACTGACTGACGTCTGGTGTCCCCAGGCTCTGAGTCCCCCTCTCCACGGGAGCAGCTGCCCCCACGACCACCTACCACCCATGACCACGTCCAGCTGGGCCTGGCCCCTCCCCTGTGACCACTGTCCTGGTCCAGGCGGTCGTTGTCTCTCACCTGGGAGTCAGTGATTTGTAGGGGACATGAGCTGAAGTCCCGAGGAGGTTCTCGAGCCCAGGGAGAGCTGTGGAGACGGGCAGGGCCAGGGTCTGGCCCCCAGCTGGGCCATGGTCTCGTCCCCTGTCTCAGTTCTAACTGCTGTGCCCTGTGCCTGTGCTTTATCCTGCCAGGCCCCAAGCGGATGCGGCCATGGCCTTGTAGCTTGTCACCTAATGATAAGAGGCCTTGCACTATCCTCATTCTGTCCCATGCCCTGTCTGGCCAGCACTAAGAAGCTGGTCTTTTGGCGAGCACACCAGTGACGCACGGTCCCTGGTGGGTAAGGGGGGCCCACGCGACGGGGGATGCTGATGTTGGAAGGTGGCAGCTCAGCCTGGGCTGCCACGTCGTGACCTGGCCTCCAGCCTCCAGCCTCCAGCCTCTCCCCTCTGCAGCCAGAGTGATCTCGCCCAAAGGATGCTCTGACCCTGTCGCTGCCTTGCAGTCAGCCCTGCTGTGGTCCCCATTGCCTGCCCTGTGGGTGGCGTCGCTCTCCTTGGTCTTGCAGCAGCTCTTCCTGCCTGGTTATACCCATAGACAGCCGGCTCTTGGCCGCCGCCTCTTGCGGGAGCCCTGTGTGTGCAGTTCTGGGCCGTCTGCCATGCTTTCTCTAACCCTTGGAGGGTCCTTCTGGTAGCCCCTGGTGGGAACATGGATGCCAGCCCTGTTGGAGATGGGCAGGCAGATCAGAATGTCCTTGGGGCTCAGAAATTACCGTGGTTTAAGTGGAGAGGTGTTTATTTCTAGAGAACCTTCGCACTTGAATGCGGTTCTTTGCACAGAGGGTTTGGCTCGAACAGATCCCTGTCTGCAGGCTCCTCTGCGCAGGTGGGGCTGGGAAAGCTGCTATCAGGTGTGGGGCGGGCAGCATGGGGCAGGAACGCTGGTGGCCTTGGGGATCCGAAAAACAAAATCACCATATCTAACCTAAGAAAGACTCTCGCCCACAGGCAACAGCACAGGAAGGGGTGTGGCTCCTGCTAGGCGGTGTGGGTTGTCGTTACTACAGGGCTGGGGAAGGTTGGGCTGTGTGGGAGGCCTGGATCCTCCAGGAGGAGATGGCACGTGGGACTCTCAGCATGCGTTTCCATGTTGAAAATCCAGGCATGCGCAGCGTGCTCGTGGGTTGGCCTCCTTGTCCCATGTCTGTTTCCTCCGTCCTTGCTGGGGCTGGGAGATAGTCTGTGTTTCTGCTGGCTGGGGCAGCACGGGCCGCACGAAACATCCGTTTGCCACTTCCCCAGGACGCAGCTTCATTCAAGGCAGCGCCGAGCTACAGAGGCTCCGTGAGCGGTAGTGAGCTGGAGCCTGCGTATGGTGTGGAGGCCGCCGACTACCGAGAGCCCGGCAGCCAGCAGGGCCTGGCCTATACCCCAGAGGCCGTCTACGAAAGCACAGAGGCCCCGGGCCACTACCCAGCAGGTACCGGGGGCCCCACGTTCAGTGCCCTTCCTGGGGTGGGGAGCTCCCCGGTTCATCCTGCCTCTGGGTCCCCTGTGAATAGTGTCCCATTCGTTCACTTGCCTCACCCCTGCCGTGTCCACAGGGCCTCTGCCCCTGCCGGGGGTGCTCCGGACAAGCTGGGGCCGTGGGCAGGGGTCAGAGGAAGGGGGCGACGCTGCTCTCGTGTGTCCTTGGACAGAGGAGAGTCTGCAGAAAGCCAGGGTTTCTGGAGGGCTTTAAGGTCTTCCATACGCTTTGAAGGTTTTTGTCGATATTTCAGTCAGAGAGACACTAAAATTGGTCTTGTTTTATTTTTAAAAATGAGGTTTCATTTAATATATTTAGACAGGCTTAACATAAGCACTGCGTCCCACTTGGAGTGCTGTGCAAATGGGTAGCAGAGAGGGTTAGCTGCTCCTGGCTTTGAGAAGGTGCCTCAGGGCGGGCTTTCTGCCTTCCCCCTCAGTGTGACGAGGGGCATCTGATCGTCTCTGTCACGTCACTTTCCGGGACACAGGACCTCCCTAACGATGCTGAGTTCTCCCACTGTAGGAGTTAGGATGGCCACCGTGCCTGCCAGGGGCACCATACTCACTGGCGATCCGGGAACTTGCCCTGAAAGCTGGAGTCCTTTTCCTGTTTCTAGAAGGTGCCTCAGAGTAGAGCTGGGCTCACACTGCAGTTTCTTTCCTGACCGGTTCCGCCACCCCAGGTCTTAGCAAGTGTTTTCTACAAAAGCATGAGAAGGGGAAGTGTGTGGGTGGGACCTGGGTCGCGCTCAGGCTGTCCGTCTGCTTGCAGAGGAGAACGCCTACGACGAGTACGAGAACGACCTGGGCATCACGGCCATTGCCCTCTACGACTACCAGGCCGGTGAGTAGCGCGCGAGGAGCCAGGGCGCGGCCACACGCTTCTGCTCATCTTCTAGGGACTCCCATTCTAAGAATCGACTTTTGGTGCATTATTACGATTTTTAGAAATAATTTATGGGAATAGTTTCAGGACTATTTGTAGGAAAGTTGCAAGTACAGTGCCAAGAGCTCCCATCTCCCTCCCAAGCAGATTCCGTCTTTGTCCGCACACACGCACCGCTGTTACCTTTAGTCTTTCCCTGAACCCTCAGAGAGGTGCAGGGCTGCTCCTCCGCCCCTGAGGACTTGAGCCTGCCTTGCCCAGGACAAGGACAGCGCCCCGCAGGAGCCCACTCCTCTCTGCTGGTGAGGAGGCCGACCCAGATGCCGCGGTGCTGCCTTGTTCCCGCCAGTCCCCTCCTCTTGCCCTCTGAGGCCTTGGCAGTTTAGAAGAGGCGGCCTCCTGTCCTTGCCGGGCTGAGCTCTGGTGGCAGGCAGGAGGGCCACGGAAGCAATACGGCTCCCCTGGTGCCTCCCGTCGGCCTCACCACGTCTGTCCGCTTGTCCCAGCCCATCACGTGATCCACAAAGTCACCCCTGACCCTCAGCAGCGGACAAGTGTCTCGCGGGTGACTCGGGATCCACCATCCTGCTTTCCCCCGAGACTGCCGCAGCCTCTCTGACAGCGGGCTTCCGCTGCCGGCCTTCCCACACGCAGCCGGTGCCGTCCCCGCTGCCGGAGCTTTCCCTGCCCGTCTGCGTCCCTTTCACACGCACATTCGTTCGCACTCGTGTGGGTTCTGGGACATTTCAAGCACCTGTGTGCTTTAAAAACGCTGTGGCTTCATCCTGCCACCTCCCATCCCCGCCTGTCACCTTGGGCTTCTCTCTAGGTGGCCCCTTGTCATTTTCGTAAGAACCCCTCAGCCCCGTAGTGGCGCACACCTGTAATCCCAGCACTTCGGGAGGCCGAAGCAGGAGGATCACTTGAGCTCAGAAATTTGAGACCAGCCTAGGTGACATAATGAGACCCTGTCTCTACAAAAAAAAAAAAAAGGAGCTGGGCGTGGTGGCACATGCCTGTAGTCCCACTCGGGAGGCTGCTGTGAGCTACGGTGAGGCCACTGCGCTCCAGCCCGCGCATCAGAGCGGGACCCTGCCTCTTGAAAAGCCTTCCCAGCTGCCCCTGCACCCGCCTCACACGCACCCAGGTCGTCCTTGGCGGGTAGGGACACCCGCCTCCTCTCCTGCAAGTGCGCGCCTGCCAGGAAGCGGGCGTGGGCAGGGAGCGGGGCTGCGTGGCGGAGACCAGTCTGGGAGGAAACGAGCCTAGGTTGGGGCTGGGCTTTGCTTCACGGGCTCTGCTGCGTCTGTGACCCTCGGCCCTGTCGGCGGAGCTGCTCTTCCGGCAGACCGGGGCGCGCTCGCACCGCAGCACCTTTCTCTGTGCCCTTTTCCCCAGCGGGCGATGACGAAATCTCATTTGACCCCGACGACATCATCACCAACATAGAAATGATCGACGACGGCTGGTGGCGCGGGGTGTGCAAGGGCAGGTACGGGCTCTTCCCGGCCAACTACGTGGAGCTGCGGCAGTAGGCGGCGCGGCCCGCGGCCCATGCTGCGCGTCAGGCCTTCCTCCGTTCTGGGTTTTCGGTGGATTTTTTTGTTTGTTTTTGTGGTTTTTTTTTTTTTTTTGGTTTGTTTTATTTTTTGATGGTGGGGAGGGGAATACACATATTGCTTTTATATTTAATACTTTTGCTGATGCTTTTGAAAATGTTTATGCCACAGAATTTGCTAATATATTGTAATCATGTTCCTTAGGAGGACTTTGGTAATTGTTTTTATGCATTTAAGGTATTTTCTTTTTTTGCCAAATTGACTGTCACGTGCAGCGACTTCAGGGGCCTTTAGTTCTCTTGAGTTCAGTAGTGTGTGTCCCTGTGGGCAGCCGCGATTCCCCAGGACAAACACGAGTGCTTTCAGGTCAGTGTCTGCGGCTGTCAGGCAGGAATGACTGTCGGGCGAGCGTCTCTAGGGTCTCCGTGTCTGGAGGAAGGGGGCAGGGCCTGTGGGAGTTAGACTGGAGGTCGCCTGCCAGGAAGGAGGGATCACCCTGCGCACGTCACACGGTGACAGCCCAGAGAATTGACGGCTTTAGCAAGGACCCTGCCTCTCTCCCGTTCCGGTGGCTCGGCTGGTCCTTGTCTCCACCCCTCCCCGCCGCTTGTGTCCCCAGGGGAGCTGCTGCGGGGCCTGTGCCTCCGCCCTGCCTCGCAGTGGCACTGAGTCTTCACACCGCCCCCTCTTGGTCATCTCCAGACCACGGCCCACAGTGACAGGCTCTGGGGCCTTACTGGTGAGGTTGCAGCTCGTGCTGGGCTTGGCTTGCTGGCACGAGGGTCGTGTCTGGACTGTCACCTGGACAATCGCTGGGCAGCCTGGGGTGGTGCGTGTCTGCCGTGTGGCAGGCCAGCCGCATAGCTGTGGGAAGGCAGTGCCCCCTCTGTTGTAAACTGCCACAAACATTCTTCCCATCAAGGGGTTGTGCTGTTTTTGCCAAAATATGTTCAATTACTGTAAAAGTTGATCAATTGACAGCTAAAAATAAGAAGTGCAAATGAGTGAGTGTGTTCCTACCCAGGGTGCCGTGGTGGTTCTGGACACTGCTGTCCCTGGGCACTGTGGCCACTTGCTGCCTGGGAAACGCATCTTCCTCCCAAGAAAGCAGGGCTGGACCAATGTGATCGTGCACAGTCTGGTGGACAGTGTGTCTTTCCAAAAGATCACGTAGAAATGTCTCAGGTATTCGGGACATTCAGTGGTTGTGATAGACGTGTTTTCCTTCCTGAAGTGCATTTCTGCATAATCCTTGCTTTACCACAATTAGGTCGGGTTTTATATGCAACTTATTGTATCTGAATTCCTGTAGCACACCTCATAGGTATGATTTTTTTAAATTAAATACTCAGAATAAACTTTTTTTTGATCCACTTGCATGGTTTCTTTGGTCTTTGGTTACTCTGTTCTGCAGCTGAAGATGCCACGTTGGGGCCAGCGCACTCCCTGGCCCTGCCGGGCAGACCCTTCTGTTGTTGCGAGTACCACGTGCATTCTGCTTTAGCTCTAGACCGACTGCAGAGTCCTTTGAAAGGCGCATTTTGTAAGGTAAAATGTATTTACTCTCTCTGATCATCAATTTTTTGGACAGAGATTCCAAGCAAAGTAGGAAATTATGTGCTTAAAAATCATTTCTGAAGTACAGTTTTCACCGTAAATCCCAGGCTGGCTGCGATGTAGCTAAAGGTCTTATTTTTGTTAGAGGCACAGCAAGTTAAAGTCTGGGGGGACGGTGGCACTGAGCAGAGAGCTGGCCGGCTTGGGGCCTCACACCTGGATGGGGAAGCGGCGGGAAGGCCAACTTCCGTAACATAGGCCAGGTCTTTGGAGCCCCTGAGGTGGTGGCAGAGGGGCCTCGTGCTTCCGCCACCTGGCCGGACTCAGCTCCGTGGTACCTGTGGTGATACGTGCGCCTGTCATGGGCAGCTCCCAGACAGTGTGGCAGAACGATTTGAAACTTCAGGAAAAACTCCTCTCACCATCCCTGAAAGAAATGGGGGAGCGAAGCAAATCACAGACGTTGCAAACTAGTGCACTCTTCCCATTTATGGGAAGGGGCGTCACCTGCGGCCGCCATGAGGTGATGGTAGGGAGGCCCCAAACCCCAGGTCCCAGCTTTGGCCACTTCCCTTCCTAAGTCTTGTCGGGTCCCCCTTGACACCCTGCTGCCCGGTGTCCTGCTAGTCCTCTCTGGTGCCCAGGACTGTGTGCTGGTGGCTGCCTTCTCCCTATCCCCTGAGGTCCCTAGTGCCCTCCAGGTGAACCAGATGCCAGAGCAGTCTCCAGCCCCCTGAGCAGCCTGGCTTTGGCCCATGCCTGGGGAGGGTCCCAGACCTTCCACTCAGCCCTCTCTCTCTGGAGACCGAGTGGTGTTCACCTTTTGCTTCCAAGCTAAAACTGGAGGACTGTCCCTGGTCCCAGGGGTATAGTGGTGGTGTTACAAATCAGGGATTAATGAGTTGTCACTGGCTGTCCTGTTGCACTCCCAGGTCTGCTCCCCACACATCCCTACCTGCCCTGATCTGGAGGGAGGTGACAGGTGGCTTCCATGGGGTCACCTGGATATGCCTGCAGGAGCTGGGAGCGGGGCCCTGGAGAGCTTGGTTCCGGCTCACACGCCCTGCCTGTTGGGCCTTCCCACCAGCCTTCAGTTGTGCTGACACATGCCCTGGCACCCTTTGAAGCCTGGGTGGTGACAGACCCCCCAGTGTTCCCGAGGCACCGCATCCTCCCTTTAGCCGTCACTGCCTTCAGCTTAGTGAGCGCCCCCTTGCCAGCTCTGCTCACGTGATCCAAACCCGATAAGGCCCTGATCTCCCATGACAGTGCAGGCACAGGTCCTGTACTTAGGGCTTGGGGGTCCAGCAGGGAGGCCGAGACCACAGTGGTTACAGAGGGTGGAAGGACCTGTCTGCCAGGTGAGAGGTTGCAGCCACCTGCGGGGAGGCCAGTCTGGAAGGAGTGGGGCAAGGAGATTTCTGCACAAGGGAGAAGGGCCGGTGGGGGTGGACGGGGTGGGGGAGCCAGGATACAGGGTCTGACAAAGGGATGGGCTTGTGCAGAAAGGTTCCCCACTGGCCCACTGTTTGCCCAGTGTGGCCCTGCCTGTGACTGCAGAGGGACGGGCGTCGTGGGGCTCGGCAGGAACGGGACATGTCTTGGGTGGGTCTGAGTTCCTGTCGTCTTGGTGACCAAGCACGGTCCGGCAGCCTGTGCACCTGTAGTCACCCTCCTTAACCTAGCTGCTTTTCTTTTAGCTGTGGTTGTTTTAAAATCAACCGACCAATGCTTCTGTCTGAAGGTCAGATTCAGACCCTGGCCCCCTTGGCCTGAGGAACAACCCAGCTGCTGGCTCGCTGGGCAGCAGTTTGCTTTCAGAGCCCTGGAACGTGGCGGTCGGAGGGTGGATGTGCTTTCCTCTGTCGATCCCAGACGTGGAGAATGATATCGGGGCACACAGGAGCAGTGGTCGCCAAGGAGCATTGCACTCCTGCGGCCACTTTGGGCAGCTCAGAAGTGGCACAGAATGGAGAGTGCTACCTGCCTGGAAGGTCTGCTTGCCGGTGCTTCAACCCAAGGCGTCCAGAGAGGCGCCCACATGGTTTTAACTGAGCACACGTATAGGTGCTGGGCCCTGGAGGCGAAATGTGGAGTGTAGGAGGTGGCTCTGCCCTGGGGGAGGCGACACAGGAAATACGTGATTCCGCCATTGCGTCTAATTCCAACCAAAGAGAGGCGAAAGTTCTGAAAGGAGAACAGGGTGATCTGAGAACATGGCCAGGCTCGGCCAGGGAACTCTGCTCGGAGGAAAAGCCTCTCCCCGTTGTCTCCCCGTCCTGTGGGCACCATCTGTGATGCCCACACTGCCTTGCCGATCTCAGCTCCAACTTCCTTCTCTGAAAATGATAAAATAACCCTCTTTGTAGTTAGATGCTTGCAGGAGTCATTCTACCTACTTGCATTTGAAATTTATTGCCAGCATACACCTTAAAAATTTCATGGAACAAATCAAGTTTATATTAACAATATACTTCAGTAATTTATACTTATTTTGCCTGAGACTTTAGGATTCCCTCATCTTTTCATCTCAGTGCTGTTTTGAATTGCTTCTTTTCTTCTGTTATCCCTTTGGTTTCTTCTGGCCTGTTTGTCATCCCCTTGGAAGACAAACTCTGCTTTTGATTAGGATTGCAAAAACGTGCAGGGAAAGGAACAAATAAAATAGGTTGAGTGATAAGATTCTTTTTTTCCTACCCACTGTCACTGTTACAATAGTGCTTGTTCAGTTAATGTTTAAATCATTTGAGATGGCTCATTTGTCATTTGTGAGCCGTAAGGACATTTCCCACTAACATAAGTCATCTCTAGATTAAATGTTAATACTTTGTCTGTTAATTAAACCTCTCGCTATGAAATAATGAAATACAGTCTTCCCCCGGTATACAAGGGGTATTGGCCCCAGGACTGCCCTCCTATACCCGAATCTTCGCATACTCAAGTCCCACAGTTGGCCCTGTGGAACCTGTGTGTACAGAATGTTGGACCTCTGTATACATGGGTTTTGCATTCTGCAAATGCTATATTTTTGATTCTTGTTTGGTTGAAAAAATTTGCATGTAAGTGGGCTTGTGCACTTGTGCAAATCCATGTTGTTCAAGAGCCAATTATACCACCTCCCTAGTAGGGTGTGCAAATGAGGTAGGTGCACGTGAGTCTCTGTGGGCCTGGTAACCAGTGGTGAAAAAACGGCCTCCCAAAGATGTCCAAGGCCTAAGCCCCGGAACCGGTGAATGTGTTACCCTGTGTGGCAGAGGACAGTGAGGTAGCAGATGGAATTAAGATTGCTAATCAGCTCACGTGAAAACAGGGAGATTACCTTTTCAGCAAATGGTGCTGGGGAAACTGGATGTCCACATAAGAGTGAAGTTGACCCCTTACGTTTTACCGTATAGAAAAATGAATTCAAAGTGGATTGAAGACCTAAATCTATAAAACTCTTAGAAGAAAACAGGGGAAAAGCTTCGTGACATTGTATTTGGCAGTTTTTTCTTAGATAAGAAAAAGCACAGGCAACAAAAGTAAAAATAGGTAAACTGGACTTCATCAAAATGAAAAACTTCTGGGCATCAAAGGACATAATTAATGGTGAAAAGGCAACCTATAGAATGGAAGCAGCTATTTGCGAATTATATCTCTGATAAGGGGCTAATATCTAGAATATATAAAGAACTCATACAACTCAACAACAACAACAGAACCAAACAATTCAAAAGCAGACAAAGAAAGGACTTGAGTAGACACTTCTCCAAGAAGATGTGCGTGTGGGCAAGCGGTGGGTGAGAGGATGCCCACGTCACTAGTCGCTAGGGAAATGCAAGTCAGACCACATCCGTACAAGTGAACAGCCAGATGGAGAAAAGTAAAATGGCACAAGAAAACAGAAACAAAGCAAAAATCACTACTGTGAAGAAAACGAGCGAGGATGTGGAGAAATTGCAACCCTCACGCACTGTTGGTGGGAATGCAAAAAGATGCGGTTGCTGGGGAGAACAGTTTGGCAATTTCTAAAAACATAAAAAATAGAATTGCCACGATCCATCCATACCACTTCCAGGGCTGTACTCCAGATAATTGAAAGCAAGGTCTCAAAGATACTTGTACCCATGTTCATAGCTGCGTTATTCCCAGTAGCCCACAGGGGGAAGTAACCCAACAGTCCCTCAGTGGGTGAATGGATAACAAGATGTGGTATACATGATTCAGCCTTTTCTTTTTTTAAATCTTTTTTTGAGACAGAGTCTCATTCTCTCACCCAGGCTGCTGGTGCAGTTGCCCCTCATCATAGCTCACTATAACCTCAAACTCCTGGGCTCCAGCAAGCTTCTGCCTCAGCCTCCTGAGTAACTGGGACTATAGGCGCGTACCGCTGTGCCTGGATAACTTTTTCTACTTTTTGTACAGATGTGGTCTGGCTATGTTGCTCACGTTGGTCTCGAACTCCTGGCCTCAAGAAATCCTCCCATCTTGGCCTCCCAAAGTACTAGGATTACAGGTGTGAGCCACCACGCCCGGCCTGATTCAGCCTTAAAAAGAAGGAAATTGTGACCCATGCTGTTAATATAACATGGATGAACCTTGAGGACACTATGTCGAGTGAAAAGTCAGTCACAAAGAGACAAATACTGCATGATTCCACTTACGCAGGGTCCCTACAGTAGTCGAATCCATAGAGACAGAAAGTAGAATGGTGGGCGCCAGTGGCTGGGGGAGGGGAAGTGGGGAGTCAGTGTTTAACGGGGACGGAGCTTCAGCTGGGGAAGCTGTCTCAGTCCATTCGCGTTGCTAGAAAGGAATCCGGGAGCTGGGTAATTTGCGAA